TGGGGCTCGCTTCGTTTTTTTACTAATTGATATTTTCTTTACCCTCCTACAGAAACGATTTGTTTAACAGTAAATATTCCCTAAGAGTTATGTTTGCCTGAAATGATTTTTTATTTCTTTTCTAAACAATCTAACGTAAACATTTTTACCACTTTACTTTCCAACGGGAAATGTATTTTTTTATTGCAATGTAGTTGCTTTAATAGAGCAGTGATTAGGATTTCAATCTAAAACTTTTGCCTTTGAAATTTGGTATTACTTGAGTAAAGCCACATTTTTTTCGTCAACAAAAAGGCACTTGCAACATCCTACTTTTAATTCTGGGGAATGTGAAATATTTTGTCATGCTTTTGTTTTGAGGTTATAGCATTTCTAATTTGCTAGTAAGTGAAAAGGTGGAAGTCTGCATAGTTTGTGACATCAATTGAAGTTCTTTTACTTAACTAAATGAATACGTTTTTTGTGTTTGCTTTTTGTAAAACATGTTTTTGACCGCCTTAAAACGCAATGTTTGCAACAAATTGGGTGGGCCAAAATTCTTTTCAAATAAGACTGCTCAAGAAGTTGAAAAATTTTGTTGTTTGTCAACTCTGATTTTCCTAATATTCATCAAGCTTAACTTCCCTTTCCACTCAACGGTGATTCAGTGTAAAAATTTGAAAATTTAATATATAACCTCCTCACGAATTTGCGCTTTCCTTGTATAAATTATGAATTCAAGTATCATCTTTGCTTGTATATCAGTGTTTAAGTAGTATCTTCGTGGTAATGGTGTAAAATGAAAGCAAATTACTGATCACCTATTTGATGACTTTATCCTCGCCTTTTTACTAGGTATTACAAAGAGTTTCATCTTGAAAATTTGAGTCACCTTGAATTTGCTCAATTGTACTTCTTATCTTTTCAATTTGATGCGTCAGTGTAGGCAAATTTTGGTTGAGGCCTTGTCAATAAATTAGTCATTTGATCCATCTTTACGTATAGAAGTGTCCAATTACCCAAGTTGTGGTGTTTGAAGCGTCCAAGACAAGGGTCGTTTGTCTACTACAAAATCTCACGAGGCCGTTGGGTAAGATAAAGTAGCGAGCTTTTGTGAAGTACACTGACTTAAAAGGTCATTGCTCGGTCGCCTCACTGATAAAAGCATGATCAGAATGGTAACTGCAGCGTCGCCTCTTGCTATCAGAGACTGGTAAATGCATCAGCGTAGGCCGTGACTTCCTGCATAGCTATCTGATCGACAGGCACCTGTTAGGTAAGCTTACCACCCCACCATCTACGTAGCCTCCAAGCAGGCAGTTCGGCTAGCTAAGCTTGTTGAATAGCTGTGTGCGTAATAATACAAATTTCACCAACAAAGGTTCACTTAAAAGGCAAATGTCAAACCTCCTCACCCTCGATTAGCACCCGATGATATAACTCTATTTAACTTTTAACAAGCTTTCATGAAATAATTCAATTCAGAAATTACTCGAAAGCATCGAGAATGGCTTAAAAAATGTGCCGTATTAATCCTAATTAATGTATCCGGCCGCACGGATCCTTCCAGTCCCTTGAGAGCGACTGGTATAAACGCCTTCTCTGTGTACTGACAACAAGAGTAGTTTTGAGTTTGCATGTGCTAAAATGGAGAAGCCGGAGCTTATCAAAGAGTTGTAAATCAAGTCGAAACCGTAGGTTAGGTATCTTACACGGCATCAAAGAACGAAGTGCTGCAGAGTGGCTGTTATAGGGCCACCAAGCGGTTTTGATTCTTGGTTTACTTGAGAAGTGTCCCAATGATGAGGAAAATGTTAATAAGCGATAGAGGAAGAGGGTAGATACATCCGTTCACCTTGACTCCTGCCTGAGTAAACAAATCGATGTAATGCTATGGAAATCAAACGCAAAGCCATCGTAAATGCCTCATTGAACATCTGAACTCGATCAACTGTCTGCCGAGGTCCTCCGGAACTTGGGTCATATCTTGGATGCTGTCAGAATCATATTTAAGGACATTCTATATTCCAACAGTGTCATCAAACACATTAAAAGAAATTGTGGTTTTTAATGTCGTATCGACGTCGGTGGAGGATTTAAAAAAGAACTATTTTGCTAAAGGAATTCACGAATGATTGAGTGGGTGGATTTATGTGAAGGGGGATAAGTGGGTGGTTGCCAGGGTAGGTAGATGGATTGATAGATAGTCAAACAGACAGAAGAGCAGGTGGAAAGAGGGGTAGATAGGTAAGATGAGAGGCGGTGGTAGATGGAAGGATGGGTGTAGAATTAATGCTGCTCTCAGAGCACATGCAATCAGCGGTGTACACTGCAGACTCCGCATTATCGTGTGTCGGTCTTCCATTTGAAATGTCAGTAATTTACTTCATTTTCAAATACCCCTTCAACCTCCTATCTGTACCATAGGTTTAATTTCTTAAAATGAAATAAAAAGGTATTCTTTTTTGAATTTTCCTATATTATTATCATGAAATATCCCACAAATTTAAGGTTATTTGTTGCACATCGGATGATTAAAATACTGTGAAGTTTTAAGGTGGAGTGCCCGCCATACACTTCATTTGTCTTTGGGAAAAATTCATTTAAAGGATGCGTTAAAAAAGAAAACGGGAATCTTCCCATCTACAAACGTTTGCTTTCGCTTGAAAAAAAACTTTGGTTTTTATTTTCCTTTTTTGGGAAAAATATGGCATTCTTTATAACTGTCACTTCAAAAACCATGAATACAAAATATCCTTTATTGTCTTATTCACCGACTACAGTATTTTGTTCCAATTTTTATGGTTTTTATTAGAAAAGAATGATCGCTTTTGTTTATCTCCTTTTTAAAAGTCAGACGTTGTCAAGATTAAGGAGTTCCCTAGCATCAAGAGTCTAACCAGATGGATAGTTTAGACGCCTCACGTACTTCAACACCGTTCTGTTCCTCCTTTTCCGGTCGGTACGACCCAGAACATGTAAATTCAAATTCTTTGAGTTGCTATGTCGTGGAGGAGGCGCATCCACAATACCATGGGCTCTTTGGTGTGAGCTGTCTAGAATGCGGTAATGTACAGAGATGGACCTTACTCGAAGTTGGTAAAGTCTAAGTTCACTGGTGCCTTGACATTAGCAAGTTCTTTTACGTGCGCCAACGTCCAGCACTCATGTCTTTGTGAGCCAGCCCACTTTGGACGGTGCATGGACGAGATGACAGGCAGTAGCGGTAGCACACACTACCATGGCATAGAGTGGGATGACGAAGCCATAAAAACGCAAAATCATCAAATTCCACTTACTGGGAAGACATCAAGCACATTGCAAAAAGATGTAAAACGATGTACTATTTAAACCTTCAGAAACGATCCCGTCTGTGGTGACTCCGTTATCAATCCAAAGGCATAGTAGTCATATAGTGTTGTAAACCCTCTGTTAGTGTGAAACACCTAACCTCTGCATAACTACCTGTGGTGAAACCGCACGAGAATTACTTAAAAAGATTTGTAATTTTTAAAGCTGCCATAAAATTGATGCCAAAGCTTAAAATTACGAAGTAAACGCAAGGTTTTGATAATTTCTTCTAATCGACCTGTATCAGTGCCTTCCCTGTTTGTTAAAATTCATACAGAGCAGAGATCTTATAAGAAGTATTTTCAGCTTCCTTAGCGTTTCTGGAAGTCCTTCTACTTTTAGGCAGCAAATTCAGAAAAAAGGCTTTATTTTGGGGCACTAGTAACATATCGGTGGATTAGGAAGAGTGAGAGAAGGCGGAGCAGAAGAGATGGGAAAAAAGTTATTTTGCTTCCTTTTGCCATGAAAATATATAGGTATATACAAGAGTATTTATAAAAAAGTAGAGCTATCCAACGAATGCACGTGACTGAGGTAATGCCGATTAAAAATAGGGGCTCATAAAATAGCGGCAGTAGTATTACAAGGCTGCGAACTATTGTCGAAGATGGAGGGGAGGGAGGGAGAGAAAACGAGAGCGAGAGAGACAATTAAACAGTGTAAGAATGTGAAAGAATGGTCTATACATGGAGACGGCATATCAGAGGTAGGGTTTCTGAGACGGCGGATGCTGTTTCAACGCAGTAGGGTAATTTACCGGTGTGCCACATCTTCGATGCTCCGAATTGCATCGATGGGAGGATGTCTCTCGGAGGGGACCTGGAGATTCAGGAGGTCTTTGTATCAGCCGGTATTGATGACGAGTGCCCGGAATTCGCTCCAGCTTCCCTGGCTTGTAGTAGAGCCTGAAATGCGAGTTTGACTGTGGACCGCACCACAATGCAGAGAAAACTGACACTAAAGTTGACCATCACTACCATTTGGAATGGTAAGGCAGATATGTCTGAACTACGTTGAGTTATGCTTTTGTTCAATGTAGTTTATCGGGTTGGGTAGGAGTAGACCCTACCTGTTCGTTCATCCATTCAATTTAATGAACTTGAGCAACACTGGGTAGTCGTCTTGGCGTGGACCAGTACAGTATCGCAGACAACTGCAAGTCCCCAAAGGATAGCATATTTAAGGATACACATGGTGTTTAAGTCTACTTTTAAGGTTCCTCCTAGTCTAGAGTTTTGTTCTTGACAATGAACTATCTGAGGGGCTGGAAGGAATTGTTGGTGACGAATGTTTTTACCAATTTTAGGCTACACGCAAATTTCCAGCTAATTTGTCTAGTTACCGGGTAAATTTTTCTGTAGCACTTTTTGATGTTATGACGATTTAAGAGCGATCGCAATTGAAACCTAACTCCCTCACCAGTCTAAACATTGCCTGTGCAACCTTATACTAGTTGGAGATGATGTAACTAGCAAAGAATGAGGGCTCAAGACGGTGGTAGATAATACACATGAGGGGAAAGAAGCTTGATCCAAAGAGATTGAATAATTTAAAGGAAATTCAGAGTCCCTTTATTCAAAAAAGAAATTGGTGAATGAAATGAGCACAAAAGAAGGTAAGTAATCACCTCAAATCAACCAATTACGTCAACACCCTAAATTTTGCAATCTAATGGCAACATTTTCTTCTATCTGCCAATCTAATTGATTTCACCTTGTTCCCACTGCATTGTGAAATCTAAAAAATTTTGTTTTTTAAGGCTGTCATCATCGAAGATAGAATTTAGCAAGCCTTAACTCGAATGCGTGGGCTTCCACGAATTCTCTGCTCAAGCTACAAATGCGTAGGGGCCGCAGTTCTCTCATCAAATGGTAAAGCAGAGTTAGAGATTAAGGCTTACCTCAGGCTACGAGACAATGAATCGAAGCTCATTTTAATGTTATTTTTGTGTTCGCCCCAGAGTCGAGTCAACTGGTCGGGATTAACAATCTGGAAGACCTGTTTTGGCTTGTCAACCCACTCCACACATGTTTGCCTAGTTGTCAGGAGTTCAAGGATAAAGTTTAGTAGATTGCGTTTGCGTCCACCATTACGTGGGGCACAAGTTTTGCGAGGCCTGTCGATCGGCGAGTTAGTAAGTACAGTATTTCGTGATCTTCGATGAATGGTTCCAGAAATTGAGCTATTCTGATTATGGCGGAGGGAACACGACTGACAATCTCGAAGCACTTTCCTTGTCAACGGTTGTGGTGGGGGCAAACATTCTGAAGCCAATTGAAAGGCAGGGTCATCCAAGTCGGCATCAAAGCCGAACGCGTCAATATCGTCAAAGGATTCGTCTAAATTTCCACCCTCAGAACAGGAGAGGAATTCACTGGCTTCCTGCTGGGCGACACGTTTGTTGAAATTCCGGTGGGAGACGGGAGAGGCTGTGGATCTAGTCGCCTCGAAGGCAAAGGAAGAAGATGAGGAGGAGGAGGAGATGGCAACAGGCGTGGTGGTGGAAATAGCGGAATAGGGCTTCGTCAATGGAATTTGAGAGAGGAGGGCATTTTGACCGCTTTTTCCCAAGTGGCGGCAGCCTTGGGATGAAGACCGAATACCATTCCAGTGGAGTCGGTCTAGATTTCGAAAACACATTCTTAGCCCTCCTGCTAGGGTAAATCTGATCAACCGAATCCGTTTGACAAAGCTTAAGGTCCCGCAAGAAGTCCTATCCTCTTCTATGACCCAGATAAGTAGCATAAATTACTTTCAACTTCCAGAAAGATGACATTTTGTGTGATTTCTTGCCAAAATGAAAAAAATCAAAAAATAGAGCCTTTAGATCAACAAAATAGTTTGTGTAGGAACAAAGCAATTAGAAACACACCTTGCACATCCTTTGAGGTGGATGCTTTACTTGAGGTATTAGCAAAGATATTCAAGCACTCTCCACTAAATTTTGGTCTATACTCCAGCATTGCCTGACACCGTTTGTACTCCAACAGTTGTCGTGATGCCACATGATCATCAAAATTTGATATATGGGGCTCCTCCTCTTTTGCCATTGGCACCTCGTTGCTGAGTCTACGGAATTCCTCCAGTGTCGAACGTCGCCATAATGGTGGTGATTGTGGTGAAGTGTTTGCACACATACCTTCCGACTGAATTTCACTGGGAGTGAGTTGTAGTGAACCAAATCCACTATCAAAACCACTCTCCTCTTCAAAACCTCCCAGCTGAGTGGGAGCACGATCGGGAGGTTTGTTGAAACCGTACTGACATGGAACTACATCCTCGGAGGTATTTAAGTCCCCAAAAGCTGCCTGCAGACCTTCGTTGTCCTGAAACTCACTCGATGAGAGCCGAGAAAGCCGAGAGTCTGGAAAACTGGCAGAAATGGGTGTGATGGCTCCCGCAATCGGTGTATTCGAGGATTGAAGCAGACAGACGTTCCAAGTCTGCGGCTGGGATTGAAGGTCAAATAACCCTGTACCTTCATCCTCCTCCTGTTTTGTTGCATCCATAAGATATCCGCCTGCAGAAACTAAGAGAATGACGGAAAATGGATAGGCTTTATGTGTTACTGTGTTAATATGGCAACTTTTGTTTGACAGGATAGTGACTGCTCGTTGCTAGGATTCGATAGACTCAATAAGGATGAACTCACTTTTTTGTCTTTTGCTCAATAAACACCAAAAGGAAATAAAAGACTACAAGTGTAACGCCTTTTAGATAAAAATCAAAAGTAGAGGAAGTACCCAACATAGTCTGCATATATCGTGGAATGTGAGTGATTTTGATTGGTTAGGCGCTGAAAAGTCGATTCAAAAACCAATCAAATGATTTGTGGGTGAAGAAGGTGAGTTAACTCAATCATTGTGTTTAATTTGAAACGCCACATAAGAGGAAAATCGTTAACCGGTAAAAAAATTAAAAATTTTGTAAATCTTAATTGAGTCGCAAAATGTTGGCAGGAAATACCGCGAAATACATTTCACCGTTTTCTGTATCCAATGCGGACGACGAAACCGCAAATCTTTAGTCAGTTCTGCAGATCATATTTACTGCTCATATTGACAAAAAGCGACTCAACCTAGTTCTAGAAAAACAGCATTCTGGATTTCAAATTCCCCCCTATTTTATGACTAAAAGTTCTTGATGTATGCTCCTCATCCAAAAACCAGGTGAGCAATGTGTTTGTCATTAAGATTGTAAACCGTGTGACTAAGAAAATTCCGTTTTCGGAAACTTAGAAAGAATAAAAGTGGAAAAGAATCCGTCTAAATCTTCGAAGAAAAAAGTATTGTGGAACAAAAATTCAATTGCGATTTTCCAAATGCTTACTAAAATCATATCAGTACTTGTTCTTTTTGGAGAAAAAAATGTTCGCAAGTGGAGTAAAAAGGCCTGCGGGATAATTACGAAACTATAAAAATTTTTGGCAGAGCGCTTCGACAACTACGTTGACTTCTACCCGTCGACACACAAGGCCTGAGATATACCTTTGTGTGCCCATTTGATGTCGGTAAAATAGGAACCAACCCATCCCATAGCTACCGCAGGCTAACGCTAGCACTACCAATGAGGCAAAACGAATTAAATACCGGAGAATAATATTGACAAACGCCTTATTTTAGTTAGGCTATTTCTCGACGAATTATTGCAAACAAGTTGATCCAAATCTGCTGTTTATTGGCTAGTTGATCAGCTTTGATATTGACTGGCTCAATGAAGAGTCAAGTCGATATTTGCCACTGTATAAAGTGGGTGAAATATGTTTACTTGGCTAAGAAGTAAATATGTTCGAAGAACAACCCACTGCTGAATCATTATATTATTTAACCGCACAGCGTGTGCGCACACGAAAATAGAAAGGGATGTGTGACGTGTGCGTGTACGGTGTGCCTATGTAAATGCATGTGTTTGTGTGCGCATTTGTTACGCAAATCCACCAACCTGATAAATTTGCTCATTGAAGAGAGAACGGTAGCAGAAGTGGAAGCAATTCATCCACCTACTGTTGCCTTGGTAACAATTGTGACAGACATTAAGAGTAAAAAGCTGCTTCCAGTGCTACTATAAGCAGAAAATGAGCTTTTATTTACTGGTACTGGCGCCATATCAATTTGAAATGATAGTGACCCACAACTGTAAAGTATTTACTTAGGGAAGACATACATGTGAAGCAATTCACTGAACTTATTGCGAAATTGCTAAAAAGAGTAATGCCCCTTGGTCCACAGGGGAAATGCATTGCATTCATACCTTTGGTTACATGAGAGAGCCACTTAAACTACTGAGTTGCAAGGTAAGTAAAAATCGGTTCTTGGGCCAAATTTTTCATTAACAGCTCAAGCACCATGTTCTGATATCCTTCACTGCAGAACATAACAAAGTTGGTCATTAAAAACTGATTAGCTGCCATTGAAGTAAATAATGCAGAACGCTTCAAAAACTGAGATATTTTATAGTACATCAGGATGAGAAAATAAGCCTTTCACCAGCAAAAAGAAACAGTCCACGTTTATGTTCGAAAGCGATTTGATAAAGTGAGGTGTGAGGCGTCAATTTTGTGAAAAAATTACGGGAATATGCCAATCTCAATGCAGAAATTAGTACATATTGCTAGTAAGATTTAAAAATTTGAAGTCGAGTCATAATTGATCACTAGCCTCAAATATGACCTTGATTTTCGAAAAAGCAGCCAATAGTCTTTCTGGTCTGACACAAGATTGACTGAATTGGGCAATCACTACCGATTGGGTTGTAAACGGGCCACCTTGTTATATTTTCCTTAAACCAGGGGATAGAAAATCTATTCAGTCCATGAGAGAAATGCATTGATGCTGTAGGAGAAAGGACGTGGACAATAAGTTCACAAATCGAGCTAGTTAACTATTCAAATGGGGAACCCAATAGCTTTTACTCAGGCATCCAATTATCCATATTATCCCACTACTAAACTTCCTACCAATCTTGTTAAGTCGTTTATTCCCCGATAGGAATTCACACCTAGGACTACAGGTAGGGGCTTCATGCTCACAACAGAGACCTCGAGTGCATGAAACGAGCAGCACGACGCGATACTTACAGCTTCTTCGCCTATGCAATCAACGTCATTCCGTTATGCACGCATATTTTTAAAAGTTTATGAACCGAATCAAGCCAGTCTGGATGAAAGCCGACTACAGTACTTTATAAAGCGCAAATGATTAGAAGAGTCGTGGAAGGCTTTAAAAAGTATTTTTGGCAAATTTTTAGGGTATTAAATAAGTGCTCTGGTCAAAGATGTCTTTTGTCAAGGTGGTAACACGGATATCATTCATATCAATTTGCAAATTTGTAATGGGGACAATATCAGTAAACTCTTAGTTAAAACGAAGGCTATGCATTCGGCTTATCAGTTATGACGATAAAAAAATTTAATTTTAAATCTTAAATTGGTGGGCTGATGCAGAAAACGCGTGTGGATTATTTTGAAACACCTCTGAATTGGAGCATAGATCGCAATGTAAAAGGAGAACCAGTATTATCCGGGCGACTGACAGCATTAACTGAGAGATCGGAGTAATTTTCCTGTTCATGTGAATGACCAGCATCCGTCTTTTTACTTGGTGCAGTTAGAATAAATTACAAAGCTGAAAATCTTACCCATCTCTTTTGATATTTAAGCCTCTAATTTCTAGAGAAAATACCCCTTATCAGAGTGGCTCGACGCATATTGTAAGGAATAAAGGATCAAACAATGTGAGTAAACCACATATGGAATCCCGCAGTTTTTGCTTATAAAGAAGTAATGATTTTTGAGTCTTTAAGCTTAAATCCGCAAGAAAAATTTGAAAAAAACCGGAGTTCATTCACTTTACAAACTTTACAAGTAGCTTGGTGTTCGCGACCTAAGTCAATGCACAAAAATGCTTCGTGCAATAACTCTCAACAATTAAGCTGAAAAGGACCCCAGAACAGGACAAAAATAATCCTGAAGTCTGCACAAGTCTGTACAAGGTTTCTTAGTCGGAAGAAATGAAAAGCCTTTCAAGATAAGAGATTTCTCCTTTAAAATGTTTACGTATGCAAGGTCACGCGAAACACCAAGGTCTTAGTGATGCTCTGACCTTACAAAAAATGTTGGGCAGGTCCAAGCAAAAGAACTCAGTTAGATCAAGAACGCCTCTTTACCTTTTTTTGATAAAATGATGCGGCGACGGAGGTAAAAGTGTGTGTTTGTGTATGTGTGCGTGCATGCGTGTGCATGTATCCCACCACGGCTTAATAATGGGTGTATGCGTACGCGCGTGCGGAGGTGCTCCCACCCGCCTTTTTAAACTAGTGAGGCGCACGACAATTTTTGCGTATAAACAAGGGCACATGCCAATAGAACCTACTTGTGTGTGCGAGTGTGGAATGAGTGAGTGGGTGAGTACTTAAATCGATTTGAAATGTCTTCTTAATTGTCGTCATAAGCAAATGGCAGAGTTGATCGCCTGTAGTGAGTGTTTTTAGATTGGGTCGAATCAGAGTCGTCATTCGTGCTTCCAAAGTGCCAACTGATGGAAATCGAGAAATTGAGTCTGTAGGTTGCCTAGGTACATAGGAGGAGGTCCGACGCAAGTAAAATTAATCAATAAGATAGCGCTAAGATCAACCGTCAAAAGCACAACAATCGATGCAGAAGACTCCTATTTAGGTTATGCTGACTATAAGGATTAACGACACTGATTCAAGCCAAAAAGAAGGCCATTTGGGAAGTTCCGGTAACAACACGATAAGATAATTAAATTAAAGCAGGGATCACCAGAAATTTGCACAACCAGAAAAGGTACAATGCTAATGCATTTTTGGGAAAAAAAGCTAAAATAAGAGGTGACTGCAAACTTTTATTACCATAATGCAATATTGCGTAATGTGCATCCATTAAGCGCGTCAACATACAGAGTACCAGCATGTCAAAACAAAATACCCGTAAAGGTAGTAAAAGCTGTTATAGTGCACACTTAAAACTATATAACAAGTTTATAAAACGTTGTTGACCCTTTCACTTCAATTTTTTGAACAATAAAGCTAGTTGAAAGAATATTTCAAGCTAAAATAGACAAAGGCAGGTCACAAGGATTTTCATTTCTCGAGAGTTTGTAATGCAAAACTTAAAAAAATCCTCTATTGTCACTTATATTTTTTGCATTTTAGATATATTGCAAGTAGGAAATGCTTCAAAAAGCTAAGTGGACATGAAAAACCGGACTTCTTTCAAAAGTTACTCCAGTTAGCTAAGCAAATGTTATAACATCTAAAAACTAAACCTAAACCAAGCACAGTATGTCCTTGTACATAAAAAATGGTTGTAGAAAAAATTTAAGTTACTCTCACCATCTTCCCCGGATATCGCATCGGTAAGAACGGGATCCATGTTTGCTTCTGAAGCAAAATGTGGCAATGAGCCAAATAAAGGCAGCGAACACCTAAAGTTCATCATCCGGTCGATGGAAAACATCTATGATAATTTTGCCATTGAATAACTTCACGAAAACAGGTTCAGGTGTTTTTAATAACAGCGGAGTTTATAAAGGTTGAATGTCTGATCTACTTAAACGCTAGGCATCACGATTTTTTGCTGCAAAGATTAAAAAAGGTTAACTTGGATTTTTCTGCCATATTTTTTCAAAAAAAACGCTAGAGCAAAACCTAAGTAGACTCTCAAACATTTTTTGTAAGCAAAAATTTTTTGGATTTTAGAATTTTTCGTAAAGACTTGCTTTGCAATGGTTTGCAGAATAAAAATATTTGCGAAAAATCTTTTAGCAATATTGCCTAACTAGGTCAAGTTGCCAAAAAATACGCAAGAAATGGGCTTTTATTTAATGAAAAATTTGTATGCCTAATTATTTTGCGCAGATATTTTTATTTTAGTGTCTTGTCTCATTGGCCAACAACTCAATTGGATTTCCATTATAACCACTTTGCTCACTGTGTTTTTCTTGAGAGCCGTGGTTTTTTGTTTACTTTATTTTCCATTACGCATGCTTTATATTTTTGTTGCAACTCCACATAGGTACTCGGCCCCTCTCCTATTCTTAAACTGCCTTCTGAAAAATAGTGCGACCTGTTTGATTTAGACTTATCCCCCAGGCATAAATTATACCTAGGGTGGGTTTTTATAAATATTTGTTGTTGCCACTTCTCGTAGCTTTCGTTTAGTTTTGATATCTCGTTTAGTCCAAATGTTATGAATTGACATGCACGAAGTGTGTGGTTGTATTATGCCACTTTTCCTCTGAACGAACGAAACCGCTTAATATGACCTTTCATTAGGATGTCGGGGTCTTGGACTCCCATCATCTCTTCTTTACCTATTTCTTTTTGACTTGTCAAATTGCGCTTTTAGAATGAGTGTATTCTGCCTCCGTTTATCTCGCTGCTTTTTATCCACTGCATCAAATACCATCTCCTCTTCCTCCCTAACGTGGTTCACGAGTGATGCCCCACGTACTAGCATTTTAACTCCGTCTGCACAGCTTTCCAATCCCACTGCCTGCCTGGGTAGATTTTATTCTATTCCTGATCCCATCGCATCTCGCATCATCTCACCCTTCCTCACAAACGAACACCTCCGCGAACTTAGTCTTTTTGGCGACTTTTCTCTCCTCATCCGCAAGCCAGCTCTCGATATTATGGGCTTTTTGGAATCGGCTAAATTGACGTCCTCGGTCCCCCGTTTCGTTCTCTACGGACAGCCCGGTTGCGGGATATCCGTCCAGCTGGCGCATATCGCCCATTACGCTGCAGAGAAAGAAGGTCTCATATTCGCCTTCTGTAATGCAGAAGATTGGCTTGAACGGTGCAGTGACTTCATTCCGAGTAATGCATATCATCAGGGACAGCACAGGCATCTCTTTGAAGGCGAGGCTCTGGATTTCCCGTGTCGTTCAGCTGCGTGGCTAAGCGGCTTCGTGAAACTTAATTCTCCGGTGCTTGAAAAGGTAGTTTCATTTCTGCTGATTCCAAGTCAGTGGGTGTCATTTGTCAGATTATGCGGTAATTGATGCTATCTTTTCCATTTCAGTTAAATCCAATGATTACTCGACCTGTAGAGTGGACGGTGAAGGATTCTTCTCCGGCTGGGACACCTTGGATGGAGTTGATCGATTTCGCGATAACGCGACCGAAATATTCTACAGATTGTATTGGAATCCTTCTTCGTGATGTGGGTTATTTCTGTTTGTTGAAAAGTGCTTCCAGATGCGAGCCCTGTCGGCTAGCGAAAAGGCAATAAAGTGTTACCTCATCATTGATGGAGTGAACTTTCTGTGGTGTCGTGGAACGAGACTTCAAGATAAGGTACTTCACAAAAAAGTCGCTGTCGATCGACTAGCGATTGTACATCATCTCCGGAGGGCTCTTCAAGGTGATTGGCCGCACGGAGCAGTCCTAACTTCCGTGAATGAAAGAGCTTCCTGGCCGTCGGATCGTGAGGATCATACACCGGGGTGGGTTGAATGCGTTTTGAGCCTGTTTAACCACTAAATCCAGAAGTCGGGTGCGTATGTGTCTTTCCTTCTTGAAGGTACCTTTTAACGAAACGTGGTTTTGAGACAATGGATCCATTCATCCCCGTGCATGTGTTAAACTATACCCCAGTGGAGGTGGATGCCGTTATGCATTTCTACGCTCAAAACAGGTGGTTTGCCAATCCGGCAGCGTTGGACAAGGATGGAAGAGCGGAAATCATCTTTCTAGCGGATGCGAATCCACGAGAATTGGCTAAAGTGGCTGCAGAATGGTAGATTGTAGTGTTTATTATTGCGCTGGAGATGTGTAAAGATTCCAATCGTTTGAGTATGAACTCTCAAACCCTTGTCTTGCTAGGTATTGCGTATAAATTTAGGGGATGGTGTTCCATAATAAAGATGGATTTGGGGTCAAAAGTCATGTATGTGGTGTGGGGTAGTGGTGTAGCTCTTCGTAGTTGAGCGTCTCAATGGGGTCCTCAACAGGGTGGTTTCGGGGGCTCTCGTTGTCGTTGCGCGGAGTGGACAGGGTGCTGTATGCCCTGGGCGGGGCGGGTGGGCCCTTACTACCGGTTTGGTTGGGTGGGGGTGCTTAAACGTTGCTTTGGTGTGCGTTTAAACACGACAGCTTAAACTTCGTCTTGGCGGCATGGCCTCCCAGCTGTCTGTAGCTTCCTACACCCTCTGTGTTTCAATAACAAGTCTTACATGCTGAAATGGCTTGTCAAGACTAGAAATACTCTAAGCCTTGCAGTTTTCAGCGGCAAGCGAAGCTGGTCCAGAGTGACGCTCATCACAACTGTTCTAACTGACCAAAAATGTGGTGCCCAGAAAGAAGTTGTCGGTTGTGTAATACGATAGTGGTTTATCCCTCGGTTCTGATGAGGCACCACTTTCGTACTTCGAACTAGCCCCCTTGTACCTCGCTGGGTGGGCTGGCCTTCTGGGTCATGCCAATAGCCCAGACACCTTCTCTGTGATGAATATATATATTCTGCCCGAGTATTGTGTCTTCTTTCGTCTTCAGGGAGTCTCGGGATGCTACAGTTGTGCCTGGCTAACGATCAGGGAGATTATTACACTGTATTACCGAAGTCACATTCACTATAATAATTACCCCTATAGTGAATTTAGTAAACAATAGTTTTGGCAAATAACAAATTAATATTTGCACAAAATCAAGGACAAATTAAGTGGAACTCTTCAAAATTACATGGGAATGGTTTAGTTTTACCGCTCGTGCTATTAATTAGATGAAGGTCAGTCGGGCTCAGATGCTGTTTGATAATGCTCGTGTCAGGTTTCTTCAGATTTACTGGGTTTTCTTGCCTCAGAAACATTGTCTACAGACTCGCATCCACTCAGAGACAAAGTACTCATCCAAGCGTCCAGGACTATCATTTTTCACCCGCTCAGTCTTTACGAGTTTATGGGTTTGGTGTAGCCGCCACGGGTGCGCTTGGAATAAAGAGATACGTTGAGCCAAAAAGTGGGCTTACCTTTTGTTCACCTCTTAACGATTACTATTAGGAGTGTCTACACATCGTCCCAGATTTACAGTATCTGTGCCAACGCATCTGAATTATATGTTGGTTAACTCGATTGACGTCAAGTCAATCTCATGTGGGTACGGCTTCACGATCTTTATATGTTCACACCATAAAGCGAAAAGAGCTATTTATGGTTGTGGAATTAATTCTGATGGACAATTGGGGCTTCAGGTACTGTAATTCTTTTTGGCAGGACTGTCTATTAGACCAGTCGAATTCACGGTAGTATATCAGAATCTCTCAGCATTGATGTTGTCCCGGAACCGCGTATAGTTCCAATTCCACAAGATGAAGAGCTTCTTCCTCTCATGTCCTCTTGCGGCCGCGCCCATTCCATTATCGTCTTTCAAAACATGAATACAAAACAACCGGTTCTGTTTAGTTTGGGGAATAACACTTATGGACAATGTGCACGTGAAATTATCGCAGGAGAAATTTTCACGGCGGATAATCCTCAGGTTACTAGAGTGTTGATTCCGCCAGAATTGAAAACCATTAAACAGGTAAGTTGAATGAGTTAAGCATGACTTATTTTTAATGAAAATAATGTAGATAGAATGCGGGCAGGACCACAGCCTTGTGTTGTCCAGCGAGGGTCAGATTTTTTCGGCTGGTTTATCAACAGATGGACAAACTGGATTGGGTTCAACAGATTCGGTAGATAGGTTGACGAAGATTGCTGGCAATCTGAATGGTTTACACGTTAAGTGGGTTTTATATTTATTCTCTTCTATAACCATAAAGCTTTCCACTTCATTGGTTGACGCTGTTCGCTCTTTGTGCATTTTCATTTTCAGACATCTGTTTAACATCTTATAAAATAATTTTCGAAGTAAAAATGTTACTGAGGTCCAGGCGTAGCGAAGCACTGTGCTTTTGGTTTTTCATTCATTTACCCCGGATCCATGTCTTCGTCTCAGATTCTGACGCTTATCCCATTCATCCATCCTTGCTTTGCTCCTCTCGGATTCATCCACCCGTTCTAGATTCATCTCTCCTTCTCTAATCCATCCCTGTATCTTCCTTCCATTCCCATTGGATCCCATAATCTTTCTATCTTCTAATCCTATTCACCTGTCCATTCATCCTGAATCCATCTTTCCCTCTATCCTCGAATCTATCCATCCATACAGTCTTCACAAAGTCGCAGTGGAATAAGTTTATCGAGGAAAGACCTAATGTAGGAGCGCAGACAACACTTAAAAACAGAGTAACGAATGAACTGTTCGGCTTGGCAACGGTGAATATTTTGATTGAGAGGTTTCGTGCTAACCGATGACAGCGATCTTGAAAACTGAAGGTTCGAGCTGAATTTAAAGTGGTATTTATGTAGATAAATTGAAAGCAGCTGCAGTAGGAGAAAAAGATTGATACATCCATCTTAGGTTTATCGAGATTTATTTGCAGAAACCCGTGTTATAGCTCCTTCACAGGATGCCTTTTCCTTCCTCTTTAAGGCAAATATCATCTCGTGGCGACACAGTTCTTGCACTGACTGAATGTGGGCGGGTTTTCGGCTGGGGCAATAACGAGTACAGTCAAATTTGGTCTGCCAGCGATGAGGTTCAGGTTCTTGAACCCACCGAAATTCCCATTCACCAATGTCTCACCAACGTTAGACTAGGCAGGATAACCCAAGTTGCTGCCGCTGGATCAATGTGTGGCCTCTTGGATGAGTACGGTCATGTGAGTTAGTTGATTTTGCGTTGAAACGCGTTTACTTCCTTTTCTTCCTATTCCAGGTTCTTGTTTGGGGTTTCGGATGTCTCGGACTGGGTCCAAAGGCTTTTCAGTGCTTGAAACCAACTCTTATTCCACCAGCTCTCTTCTCTCCTGCTCTGCCTTTCTCTGACAATAGAATAACTGATTTAGTGCCTGGATTGCATCATTTCATAGCGCGGTCGAGTTGTGGTCTTCTCTGGTCTTGGGGTGCTCCTAGGGGAGGTCTGGCATGCCTTGGACTGGGTCGGAACTCTACAAAATCGACAGAAGATGCGATGAAGAATGTTCAGACCTATCCTATGCCCTTGTCTCTTCCTGCAGAAGCATTGAGAGTTGCTTGTGGTGTTGATCACACCATGGTTATCGCCAAATCCTTTGTTTGAAATAAAAGACTCATTGGTCCTTTAGCACATTTTTATTTGGATATTTTTTTTCTTTGGTGTATTTTGGGAACACGCATACCCGTCCCTCAATTCGTCCTTCCTTCCTTCCATCCGTGTTAACTGCTAAATTTTTCAGTCTAAATAAAAAATCTCTACCAAGATCATATTCACTTTAACTTCCGCAATCTTCTTCAGGGAATGCATTCATCTTCTGCCTTTCTCTGCCAGGGCTATTCTGGATTTTGAAAACCTCCTGCCTCTGATTGAGGTGTAGTCGTTCTCAGGTACCAGCGGTAAAACGATGCTACTATGCAGTGCCTAAGGCTTCATCCACAGCTTCACCAGATGGGATTCGATCTACCTACTACACCAAATGCAAGACAACTCATCCTGACCTTGGGTTAGCTGACTTAAAAGGTTTTTGGAAGTCAACGAAACTTACACTATTGTAATCGACTCGAAATTTCGACGTGCTTTCGACAGCAATCGCGGAATTGGCCAAAATCAACATGATGAATCGTCCCCCCTTTTCCCTTGCTCCTCCTACGGTCCTAAAATCACTTTTGATCGGACTAGTGAAATCTTTCATGCTAGAAAGTTTTGACGACACTTTAGTTAGGCAGCTTGGCCTGAACGTGAGCTTGTGTTTAACAGATGTGACCAGACGGCAGCACAAAGCCAATCCCTACAACGAATGCTACGCTTACGCCGGTGGGAATAAAAATCGTCCCAACTCCGTAGATTAGCTAATTTTTACCACTTCCTTGGGAGGCCTTGTGGTAGTTCTTCTCTTTCATGATACGTCATTAACGAATGCCAAATATAAATTAACTCGGATAGTTTATTGCTTGCTCTTTTCTCGAAATTGTCTGTAAATTGATGGATTGAGAGTCAAAGAACATGTTTGAGAGTGCCTGTTTACAAAATGCAACGGTAACGACGGCAGGAGTTGCAACAACGGCTGGAATGATCCTGAGTGTCTCCTGAGGAAATTAATATGGCGCTAAAATGAAGCAGAAGAAGCTTTTAGTCCTCCTTTTTTCTGCTTTCTGTGAGACGATCTAGTGGGGTTTCAAGTCTCACCTTGGTTACCGTGAAGCCGAAGAGAGCTTATACCACCGTTTGGAGCTAGAGGGGCCAGCTCCTGCCGCTGTCGTCGTTACTGACGTCTCTTCAGAAGTGAAACCTTTTTGAGTCTCAGTGGATGCTGTCGGTGGGGCTAAAGGTGGTGGCACAGGTCTCTGACAATTGATGCTTCTGCTAGTCCAAAACCCATGAGACGAGTTAGGCAGCGAAGAGGAGAGAGTGAAAGATGAGGAGTGAGGAAGGGTAGCTGTCCCCGTGCAACACAGACATCCCTCGCTTCGTGGCGTCTGTTTCAAATTGGTGTAGTCAATTCCGAAGGGTTTCAAAGCCTGAAAGAAGAGAGGAGAACTCTCTGAGCACCTAGGTGGACAGAGGATCAAGTTTAACGGCCCTCTGCGTACATTCCGAAGTTTCACGCGAAGCAAAAGGCCGGAGACAAATTCCTGGACAGCTTTGTAGATGAATCGATATTGAGCTTCGGTTTGGACCATACCGGAGCGTTGCTCTCTGACGGCTTGGACAGTGCGAGCTATATCGATGTCAGTATGGAGACCACCTTCGCGAATGCAGCCTAGAAGCATGTCTGTGACAATTAGGGTTCCAGTTCGACCAATTCCGGAACTGCAATGCACAATCATTGGACCCATGGTTTCCATATTCTCCTAACGAAGAAGGGGAGATGAATTTGCTGAAGCTATGGATATTCTATTGGGTTGAAAATGAAATACCTGAATCTACTTAGAGGTATTCCTGTTTCTTTGTGCCACTTTACCACGTCTAGCATAAAGGGACAGGAAGGAGAACTCGTTTAAAATGATTCATTAATCTGCCAATACTTCCTATGTGCACCCTGTCACTGATATAATCACCAACCTGATATGAAGATATATTGAACAAGAGGTCCAAAAATTCTGACGGTTCACTAGGGGTTCCATGATCAGGCCATGCAAGAAATTGAAGTAGAAAGACAGTAAATGAGTCGTCCTCCTCCCTTTCGGTCTCTCCTGCCCTCCCCTCCCGAGTTAGCCTCTGATGCAGACTGATTTTGAGCTCACGAATCACATGCGAAATGAGGTTGCGTTCAGACATGGGAGTGACTTTTAGAGTACCCAAGGGAACGGGAAGGAGTAGAGAGCCCTCAACCTCCGTTGGCCAGTACTTTTCGCATTTATTCTATAAAGAATCAAGTGAGAGTTGGAGAATTATAAGACAGCTTACTCTTCCGCGTTCATTTTCTTTCGTCAGCATGACGACAATGGAGGAGCGTTCTTGCCAAATCATGCGCCACATATCGACAATGGTGCCGGGTAGAACGCCTTGCGTAGCGATGTACTGGGGCCGAGATGAAAAAAAGACTCGGCCGCGACGACTCCTGGCTCTAGCATTCTCCCCATTTCCTTCATTCTCTTCCTCCTCTCTATCTTTGTTTATTTCTGTTTCCTTAGACTTCTTTTCGTCTTTCGTTAATGTTGTTGAAGGCTGAAGACCTTCTAAGAGAAAGGCCTATAATGTAGGAGTACAATTAGTTTAGGTTTTATACATTTAATTGTTAAGTGTAATTATCGGTCTTTTCAGTCTCTGGTCGGGTCACCAGTCTTCCAAGCCCTCAGTAAGTTAATAATAAAATATCATCCAGACTAGCATGCCTTATCGGAGGATGACGTGATTCAGACACTATCCACCTCTCTCTCACTCACAGGATTGGAGATGTAGTTGGCATTGATATAATCTGAGCCAGGGACGTTGGGATCCGCGTCGCGTAGAATCACTCGGGTGGCATCGAAAGGGAGGATATTTTTGTACCGATTTTTTGCCAAATTACAGGGTCTTCTACCCTCCATTCGACTACCTTCGTGGGCGTCCTGATGAAGCTCCTCAAATTCCTCCCAAAAACCAGTAACACGCTTTCCTCGAACACCCTTCTTCTCTAACTGTGTGATACGCTGGTCCAAACAGGAGACATTGAGGCGAGTCACATTGAAGGGCTGTAGAAAGATTATAGACGGAGCATTCTTGACTGTCATTGGCTGGCTTTACCTTTACCCTCAGCACTCTTTCTCGAATCAATTTTTTTTATAAGACAATTCATCTAACAGAGGACGAGATAGACAGGAATTTCATGAGCCGACGGTACTTGCTACGATTAATGAAATAGAAAGTGGTCTTCCCACGATCCCAATTCATCGCACAAATTCCCTTTCTGCTTGGCCATTGCCTACAGGCCGTGGCAACTAAAAGCGGAGCTACTAATCGAGAACAGCGCTCAAGACAAGACAGAAAGGCCGACTCACACAAGGCTAATATTTTCCCAGCTCATCCATGCGACCGTAATAAGCCTTGAGACACCACATACCACTGAACGTCTCCGGAGCTGAATTGGGCACTAAGTTAGTTAACATACTCTAAATGAACAACAATCTCAATTTAGCTGCCTGAATGTCACACTAAAGGATCACAGAGGATTACTTAATCTACATCGATGTTGGATAGGAACTACAATCTTGAAATCTGCCTAATGCTACGTAATGCAGCAAGACCAGAAACGATGGAACTACCAAACATCAGAGACAGTCATTGCTTTCTCAGATTGAAAGAAACCCGAAATAATCAAAACCAACAAAATTGTAGAAAGGAAATAACCGCATAACATTATCAAGCGTCCAAATAATTTCGAACGCCATTTGACAGCTCGATGCAATGACATGTATTACAAGCCGTACATATGCATTAGTAGTCTATCGGTACAGTGCCCAATCACTGTGCTATCTACCATCTTCGATCAGTTCAAATCCCCATATCGGCACATTCGAGGTGAACTTGTTTGACGTGATTCGACCTTCACCTTACAAACTGAGTTTAATTCGGCGTAAAAGATGCGGAAGCTTCGCATAAAATTTGGACCACAGAGTTTGTAAAAGGAGCAACAATGAAACATACTGCTCAGAAATACCTTTAGCAAAAATCTATTTCTAGTCATTAATCGTTCCAAGTCGAGATAGACATCACACTGAGGAGGATACAATTCTTGATCACGAAGAATTACGTCTCACTGTTGACTAAAATACATCTAGATTACTATATCGAGAGCAACTTCGAGCAATGGTTATTGTGAATGAAGACGCAACGGCTGCTACACATAATGCATCAATAGATAACAACAAGGGTCCCATTTCTTTCTCAAGCATAAACGCGCATTCTCGAGACTTTTTAATGAATTACTGGCCGACTTGTGATTAAAAATGGCTCTTGTATAACAGCGTTCATTAACCGAATGAACACATCATTAGTACTTTCCACATGACCCACTAACTACCCCACACTTATAAAGCACAGAATGCCATGCATACTTCGTGTGTGGTGAACTACGGATCCAAATGTTCATTAGAAAATGTTGACGCACTGAAGGCCAAGTAATTATAATTGGGACTGATCCATTTGATATGAGATATCGTGTAAAGAAAGCCTTATTTTTTGGAGGCTGCTAGGATTAGTTAAGCAGCTAAGAAAATACTAATTTTAATTCTTACAAGAAAATCCAGGACTTTGAACAGCTGTTAACTTCTTCCTTAAGATGTGTTTTAAGGTAAGGGAAACAGATACTCCTGTACCAGTGCCAATTTTTCTACTTGTAGAGGTAAGAAGTTTTATAAAAGTGAAGCCTACAGTTAGCGTGTGCCTCATGGAAGACCTAACAATTAGGCATCGGCATAAAAAATTAATGAGTTTTGACTTTTATATCAGTACCATGAAGCTCTACCAGCAGCCTCTTGGGATTTCAATAATTCGGATGCTTTTATGCTTTCCTATCTGATGAAGTCTTCAATTACAGAATGGGTAAGGCAACAGTCATTTAACCATTGTAACTGATTGCTTTACCTTCTGACCGTTTTTGCTAGTGTTTTGAAAGAGGCTTACGTTTAGGTAGACCACTTGGTTACCATTGGAACCTATGACGAAAGATACGATCAAACCGAGCCGGCTTTTGGTGACTATCTTAACCTCAAGTTCTACTAGGACAATTACTGATAGAAACTTAAATTCAACTAGTCAGAATCGTTCATAAGGGTTAGCCATATTTTTTTGTAGGAAAGTAGAGCGATCTGAAGAAAAGGATCGCCACCAAGTAACGAGAATCTGATAATAGACCAAATAAGGTACTAAATAGGATAGAAGCGATGATGGAAGGGACAAGATCCATGAGTTATTTGGGAAAGATTCTTAAGAATGACTGACTGATAAACAAGCAACTGCAAGATTGATGCTTTAAACCACAGAGAAGAAAGGAACTTCATAAAGTGGCAGTACTGAACGTCCATGAATTGACCATCCTCACTGCAGACGAGATAAAATTAGGAGTTATGAGTTTTTCCACCAGCAGTAAAACAACTTCAGCAGTACATGCAGTACACTATCACACCTGTGAGGTCATTTAAACATTCATAAGCGAACTAGAGATACGAATCATTGGTAGAGCGACAAAAAGAAAGATAACGTGAAATTCCAATATCAGTAAGGGAAGGATCTCTACACTATGTAGTCACAGATAGAGGAAAAGACACCTTCATACATTAAACTTCATGCACAAAATACTTACTTGTTTAAGACAGATTAGATGTCCATCTTTGACCATAATGGGAAAGGCGGTGTAATGATCAATCAGTTGACCAAGAGACGAAAATTCATGACCATCGCCCAAATCGAATTTCGAATTAGGCAAATGGTTAACGAGAATGTGAGAAACATTGCTGTCCCCCGTAACAACGGAGAGTACATAGGATCCCGGTTGACGAACCGACTCTCGAACCAAAAAGCTCCCATATTTGCCCTTTTGCAAAAGGAGATTTTGGGCCTCATTCGCTGTTTGACGACCGTGAAACCACCTCGCACTAGATTCATACATTTAGAAATATTAAAAGACTACTTTAATGGGTAACAAAAGAGAAACGATGTCAGTACCTCTCACTGGAATAATCATCTACCATAAGAGGATGTCGGAGTTCGATGATGGAGCCATTTTTTTCTTTTAGCTGATCAGGGTGCTCGCGATAGTAATTAACAAGTTCTGGGAGAGTAGCAAATTTGTCGCCACCAAAGAAGCTTAAAAAATCACCGGTGTTTTGGATACGAATATGCGCAAATGAGTCTTTTCGCCGGACGGAGAGGGTAAAATTTCCAGGGCTATTGTGGCTTTGACGAATAAGAAAGCTTCCTGGCTCTCCTTTTTCTATAAGAAGCTTCTCGGCGGCCAATCCCGATAATTCACTGTGAAACCATCGTCGAGAATCGATGGCCATATCACAGAGCGATATTTTGTGCTCTCAGGCTATGCACAAATATGCGCCGACCCTTATTTCTTCCGGTAGAGAGTTCAGCGTACTAACACGACCAGCAAAATTTGCTGCAGATAATCAAAATCATCACTAAAACGCCCTTTTTTGCATAACAATAAAAACACACTAACGTGAGAAAAGCTAACAAAAATCCGCTCTGTAAGCTCAAAAATTTTGCATTTTGCAAATTGCCGTTAACTTTCAAAAGCTTTAGTAGGTAAAATAAATTAGCAAAAGGTAGTTAAAAACACCATTGTTTGCATCAAACATGCCAAGGTAAGTTCAGCACCTTTACAAGGCCTAAATCAGCCCCCTAAGTATGACTATATTGTGGCTACCCATTTGCGCTATGCTAATTCATATTATATCATTGTTTTTATTAAAGAATGACATATTAAAAAATGCAATTTATTTACCAGCTTTTAATTCCCTTCATTCCTGCTGACAGACGATTTCATTAAATGCCTCTGTACATGCTCCTTGATTATTTCCTTTTTTCCGACCTTCATACTCCTAGAACTAAGGAACATAATTAGCAAGAGCACATTTGTTTTTTAGTAACGGTACTAATGGGTGCAAGTTTAGGGGAACCCTGACGCCGAGCTCTTGCTCTGTACGCGGATTTTGACCGCTGCTCCACCAAGATGTTCGATTCAACTTTCCACTCCTGCTTTTAAAGGCACATTAAGGCACTGTAACTTTTGTAATTACTAACATTAAGACCTTTGGTGTTTAGTGGGTACCTATACTTATGTTTAAAATATCAGTGCAATTTTTTAGCGTACTTTTAAGGAACTTGCCGCTTTTACTTTTTTTATAATTTTTTTGTTAAGTTTTATATGTTGCGCATTTATAGTCTTTTAATTTTCAGTGGGGTATTTTACGCATGTTATAATAGGCCACTTAACTACATTTTACATAACCTGTGCTAATGGATAACTTCAGATGTTTCCAGGTTTTAGTGGATTCTTCCAGAACAACTTTTGCCTCAAATATATTACCTAATTTATTTAATCTATACATTTTAACATTTAAGACATTTTATTTACAATTTCGATGCTGTGTTCTTGCTCTGGCTTGTCTTCCATTGTCACATCGGTTTCTACACATCTATATCATATTCACCCCTTGAATAAGCTTACTATATTTTTGTGCAACAGGATTCGCTTTTTGTATAATAAATTTTTTGCACTGCAAAACTAATCTTAGTCTCTTTTTTATTATGATTCCCTCATATCCGACTTATTTCGTATTATGTCAAATCAAGAGTTTTCTGGTTTGAAAAACCGTTTTGCTACTTCTAACCCTTTTATAACTTCTGCTTTTGTAATTTTAGACATTATGAAATAATAATTACAGATCAGAATGGACCATGATTTCTGTGCACAGGTCGATAACAACCTTATTTGTTGTGATAACGTTGTCCCCATACAACCAGAAAAAGATCATCTGGACGCCTCCATTCCCAATCCTCTCTCCATTAATGCCTCTCGCAACAAGGCTGCTTCTCCTCCCTTTGATTCTTCTGAATCTGACGGTCTAGTCGTTGGTCGCCCAATTGGCAATCCGATGAGTAAATCCCTCACCAATAGCGATTCAGCTTTGCCCCTTTCCTATTCAACCAAAGCTCACGTTCTTCGTGCTCCATCTCTTCCTCCTTCCATCACGTCCAAGTGTTCTACAGCCTCCGACACCAACACTGCTCCCCCTGAAGTGCCTATTCGAACCTCTTCTTCTCCACAGAAGCACAACTCGCTTCCATGCTTCATTGGACGCAATTGGGTGTTCGATAAGGTATTTCGATGGCTTCAACTTTCATCCGACGGTACTCCAACGTCTACTGATGCTATGTACTGTTCCTTTATTTTGATGGGTGGACCTGGTACAGGCAAAACCGCCATTCTTAACGAGATTATTAAGAACAACCCCTTTGGTCTATCCACTCGCCTTCTAGCCTATCACGCTTGCTCTAATCAATTTGTTGCATCAATAAATCTTCCTCGTTTCATTCTATCCCTTCGGGATCAGTTGACATCTAGACAGGATGCAATCGGAGCATTTTATCGTGAACGTCTAGCTGCTGGTGGTGGTCGGTTAAACCACCTTTTTACTACAGCTCGTCTCTGTGCATTTCCTGATGAGGTTCTGTCTGAAGGCATCTTCAAGATTCTTGGTGATCTAGATCCTAGACAAATCGGCAGTGACCAAAAGCTTTTTTTTGCAATCGATGCTGCAGACGAGTGTCTTCGGTTGAACCCAAATTCTGAGGTTCGGGCTCCGCCCTCCATTTCCAGCATTGGATGCTCGCACAAACGCCTTTCACAGGCCTCATCTATATCAGATCACGTTAATGAATTCCAGAACCTTAACCTGCACCAATCAACTGGTCGAATCCGACAGGGTTGGGTTAGTCGAAATCTTCTTGAACTCCTTGCAATTAATGCTTTATTTCTTCCACCGTGGATTGGACTCTTTATCACCTGTCGGCGAGATTCACAAACCATTCTGCGTCGACTGTTCCGGTGTGCTAGCACCGTTTTTCTGGACGATATCCGGTGCCCATTAGTATATAAGGATATGAATGACTACATTTGCATGCGGCTGAAAAATGATAGCCTTCTTCAAAATGCTTTCGATCTCTGTGGTCAGGATATTCTCCACATATTAGAGTATAAGTGTAATGCTTCATTGCTCTACCTCCATATCGTTTTGACAGCTGTCAGTGAGTGTTGGCTAACTCCGGAGTACATCAAAACTATCCCCGGCACAATTAATGGTCTCTTCCTTTGGCTTTGTCAACGCCTATTGAATCCTTTTCCTAACGATCCTTTTTCTTCAATTATGACTACGATTAAACCGGTATTAAGTCTTGTACTTACCTCATCACGACCTCTTACTCTCGATGAAATTGATGTTATTCTGCAGTCGAACAACGTTTCTTCAAAGATAATAGAAAACTGGAGGCAAGTGCTCGTTCTACCCTTTTTTTTGGTACACCAGTACCCCAAACTTCTGCAACAACAACCTCAACAATGGGTGGATCTTCTCGATTATGCTGAGCTTCAACACGAGAGAGTTCTTAGCCTTGCTCACACCAGTTTGAGAGACTGGTTCCTTGACGTCAAGTGCTCTACACCAGTGTATTTAGCATCATCTCGTGATGGACATACAATGTTAGCCTTGGCAGCCTTGAATCAAATTTGCCAGTTTTCCTGTCTTCCTCGCTATTGCACTTGGGATATTCTCTACAATTTCACTCGATCTAGTCTCTATAATTCTACAGAAGCGCTTCAGATGCTAACCGAAACTCTAAAAGACGTGAACATAGACTTTACTGTGGATATTCTTGCAAATCTGGACTGTTGGATGTTTCTGCATGACCCAATTCTTGTGCATTGTTCATTTGCTGGATCTTCAATCAGTCAATTAATTGAGGATGCTTTGAACTATGAGCACCGCTTATTCGAACCACAGGCATCAATTGTCTTCAGCTGTAATGGAACTCAAACCAGAGAGCGTAAACCTCAACAAGTAATCCTTCAAACACGAGCAGATAAGGAGACTTCCATTGGACAGTTGTGTACCGCTGCATTTCAGGGAAAGCTGGAGGCGGTGAAATGTATTTTGAGGCAAAATTCAGTGGATGTGGAAGCGAGGGATGCCGCGGGCTCAACGCCATTGGTTTTAGCTTCGCGGCAAGGTCATTTGCAGATTGTGAAGTGTTTGTTGGAGGCGAACGCAAAGTTAGATCAAATTGATCAGGACGGATGGTCAGCATTAAGGTCAGCTGCATGGGGTGGGCATACTGGTAAGTTATGATTCACTAAAAAGACAAAATCACACATAAAGAAATACATAGATACATGGAGCAGATGAGGTCAATATAAGGACAATAAGAAAGTCGGTTTCTTATTAATGTATGACTTTTCGTATGAAATCAATTACAAAGTTGTCAAACCTACTAGTTAGTGTCCCATCAAATGGAGTTTACGAGAAAATTACTGAAATTTTTTTCAAATTTCGGCAAATGACTAAATTAGTTGTGAATCTTGGAAATAAGCTCTCTTGCTACCTAAAACCCTGTGTCCTTGTTCTACAACAAACTAATTAACGGTCCATGTAGGGCCTGGGGACCTCTCTGAAAAAGAAAAAAAAAGAATGCTAGGACAGAATATACAAATTCGAAATACAGTAGGGCTTGGGACTACTGGCATGGCTTGGAGGTCAGCCCACCTGACAAGGTACAATGGCGGAGACCCAAGGAGGGCCTTCACCAAAACTGGGAATTATGCAGCCGACACGTTATGGTCCCTTTAGGCGCAATTTGTGGCCAAATAATCCCATTGTTTCCCAAATATCTTATAAAGTAGTCGATTCATTAGGGAGGCCATTGAGAGACTGCTCCAATTTTAAAAGAATTTTTCCGCAAGATTATAATGATTTTCAGGCAATAGAGCCCTATAGCCTCTCGTTGATAACTTCAGCCTTGAGGTACAAAAAGCAGTAGCCTGAAAGGCAATTTATTATTTTTTGAATTACGAATTTTAGAAATGGAAATGCTTAGTGAAATTACTGGTAACAGTCTGCAATAAACAGGAGAAAATCTACTTGCAGGTCAGCTAAACCAATGAAACTAATTTATTTAAACTTGCTTGCGCACTGGTAATGTTCGTATGATTATGAATCTAATTGGGCTAGAATCTAGTTTACCGAACAATTTTATTTCGTTTAGTCAAAACAAATTTAGAGTAATGCAATATCGAGTGACTTTCTACTTAAGACATTCTATTAACCTTCATTGCGCAAATCTTCGCATGACAACATTTCACTTAATTGCCCACTTGAAACGTAATTTGTAGTAAATTGAACTTGCCTTTCTTTAAAACCGTTAGAATCTCATGATCTTAAAGCTCTTTACTTTTTCCAAAATTCTGGGCTAAATTCCAGTCATACTGGTCCTCTTGCGATCGATTATGTGTCAACTACTTTGTCCTGGGTACCAAGTTAGCTTGCCCTCTCCGGTGGTTAAGGCGTTGCGCAATTTACCAACCTCGCTATTGCAGCTTTTCCCAATTTCCCCATTAGATAGCCATTTTACCTTCTGGCAAGCCGGTGATTGGTCGCTTTATATAGGCATACCTCTATTTCTAAACTCAACAATGCCAGAAAGCGCTCTGTTTTACACGCCCGAGACACATTGCTTTCGAAGGCCTTATACTTATACGTTAATCTAAGTAATCTAAGGAAAGAAAAAGGAGATTTAAAAAACCATCGTTTTAATGAGCCGCATTAATCCTTGCTGGGATTCCTTGCTTGCCTTGTCCGCTGGCCTGATCAAAAGAAATCTGCATTCATTGAGGTACCCATTGCAGTGACTGATCAGCATACACTAGCATAAAATAAGGCGATTAGGTGACGAAGGGAATGGAGAGAACTTCATGCCACCAAGAGGTCAACAAAGTTTTGGGAAAAGTGAAATATATCTCTGTGTCATTATGTTTCCTTAGGACAAACATCCATAGGTCTCTTTCTCTTCTCATGTACGGCATCTTTTTTCCGCTTTGGTCGTTAACAGAAGTAAAGATGATATATTTTGAGTTTCCCAGCATGACGGAAAAGCTATCTGCTTCAGTAGTCATAACATATGCTGCGGATTTATTCGGTATTTCTGAGAATTTGTAGCCTCCAAATCACGAGCGCCAACGAGAACGAAATAATGGCAAAGGGATGCTCCGCAGACCGGTTGTTTTAACTGATAAAATTCGTCAAAAGCATCAGGGGGAAGGAAGGATGTCATTTCTTTACTAGGTATCTAAAATTACAAAAACAGCCTAACTGGAGGGAATGGGAAAATTACTTAAGTTTGTATTTCTTCTTGGGACCACTCTCCTTTTTTTCCAAAAAGGCAAATCAAGAGCTAAAAATGAGCATTTAAAGCCTGCGTTAATTACTGAGTTGTTTAGCTGGCACAAAATTTGCTATGCTTTAAACCGTCGGAATGTTTTTTGTGTTTACGTGAATCAACTTTAGGGCCCTTTGCTAAAAATGGATGTCCACAGCACTATGCTGCCGTCATACGTATGGGGTAAGCAATTGCTGACTCTGAGAGAATTTTACCATTTCACTGAGCCCTAGATACACACCCGCCCACTCCTTCCAGCTTCCTGTGGAATGCTGCTCGCCCACTCTCCAATGCTGTCGCAGCTATCTCGCTCTCTGGTAGAACCAATCTGCGAGATCACACATGCCCTCCTCTAACAGAACATAGAAATCCCCTATTTAAAGGTGTTTTCTTCATTTTTCACAAATGAGGTGTTTTTAAGAAGACCAAATTTTGACAACACAACGTTTAAAAAATTGTTCTAAGATCTGAATACTTTATAATTTTGCTCTGCTTTAGGAGGTACTGAGGGCCTCAAAGTATTTTTCTCTTCGTTACAAACTCTAGTCCATTCTCAGCGATCTTTTATCTATAGAAGTAGTAAAAAGGAACCACGACTAACCGCCCCCATTCCTTTCTTCGTTTTATCCTTCCACTGTCTGCTTGGCAAATGTTTGTGGCACGCTAAGAAAAAGTGATGGTTAGTACATGGAGGACTACGAAGGAGGAGAATGTAACTAATGGAGCAGTGTCTCCTTCTTACTCCATTCCATTCCTACGTTATCTTTCGGTATGAGATCTTGAGTTGTTTTATGTGAAAAACTTTTTCACGATAGAGTGACAATTCTGGCTGCTTTTGGACAAACATGTCAGATAGCCTACAATGGGTGAGCTATTGGATCTGCAGTGCATCACAGACAAAACAACCACAGTGTGCTAGGATAAAGTAAGTGAAAATGCGTGGTAGTGAGTGGACCATTCGGGAAGAAATGGTTTGTTTGTTGGCTTTGTGAACGCTAGTAAAGAAATATCTTTTCTCATCACATTTTTGTCGGTCAGTCAGTCATTTAGCTAGGTAGGAGGCACTCTAAGGTAGAAGAGGTGAAGAAGAAATAGATGATCTTTGAAGTCCGTTAGCAGCACCCACTCTGCAGCTGCGTGAATTTCTTCCCTTTAAGGCGTTAACCGGTCCTTCAGGACAAGGTGAATTTATCTTTGAGTGAATTTTCGTCAGAATAAAATTGTTCTTTTATTGCGTACTGTGTCTTTCCGAAAAGCTGTGTACAGTAAGTTGACGAGAAGATTGTACAGCTTTAAAATCAATCCACATTCGGTTCGTAAGGCTGACGATATTAAATCATTTCCATCAGGTCTTCAACACCGTCCAATTGAGAGAAGTTCAAAGGAGAAAGTGAATCTGAATCCTTGAGTTGGGTCTACAACGAGTACACTTCGTAGCTCCATCGCTTTTTATTATTAATTGACTAAAAACGATAAAGCAGATGATATATGGGATTTCCGTCTCACCCTTTATTGGGATTTTCTTCTATCTCTGTGATAATTTGATGCTACCCCATTGTTTGCATTGCCACAAAGCTATAAGATGTTGAAATATGGCGTCTCCTTTCATTTGTTGTAAAAGCTAACAACTTTTCCAATTCTTAAATAAAGAGTTTTTCCGTTACCATATTCAAAGTATCTTGCAAGAATGTCGACACTCCACGATCACTTAGAACATTGTCTACTTCTGTCATCTTTTGCATCCTACCTCTTGCCACTAAAAAAACGGTAAATGGGTGGCACAATAAGAATGCTACGGAGTTACAAGCCACATTTATGTTAGCTCGCAACTTTAGCCACCATCCACCATAATCATCCTCTACTTTTTGTATGATTTTTGCCCGATGAAATGGATGTAAAGGCCGCACAATGTGCTACAAGTGCGTGCATTACGTTTTCAGTCATTTATTTTGAAGTAAAATCTGCCAAGAGACCGAAACACATTTGAACAAGTGAATAGCACAAGGCAGATTTACAAATTTTCTGTCCTAACTTCTTTCTATATTTTTTGTGTTCATCCACCTCTCTGGATAAGTCTTGGACCCTTGAAACATGGGACGAGACATTCAATGTAGCACCCCATTTGAGTAGGTAGCTTGACTGAGTAGCACGGGGTAGTGTCGAATGTCCTACCTATTAGGTGCACATAAGTAGCTTGTAAATTCTGCCGAGTTGAGGAGACTTTTGACCTTCACATTTATGTATCAAGCATACCTTTTTTTGCAATTTTTTCACCACCTGTAACAATTTTCAATTTGTTTTCGCCAGACGTGGTGAATTTTCTCTTAGACTCCGGTGTTGACGTGGACATAACCGGACCGGACAGTCGAACAGCCTTGCGAGCAGCTGCATGGGCCGGACATGCTGAAATTGTGCGTCGTCTATTGGCTGCCGGAGCAGATGTCAATCGTCCCGATGCTGAAGGTCGAACTCCACTTATTGCTGCCGCCTACATGGGATGTGAAGATATCATAGATATTCTGGCAGATGCAGGTTAGTTGTTGACTTGTAATTTATGCATTTTCTGAATAATCTTGATGAAATTTTATGCTACGGAAGAAGGTACTTTTACACAAAATTTCACCATTGACTACTTTTATTCGCAAATAAAAAACCCATAACAGTACCTTTTTCTGCGTAATGTCAAAGAAGTCCTGCCCATTTACCACTACTGGTGTATCTTCTAAAACGCTTCATTTAAAATGTGACTCTCTTTAGCATTCCTTCCTACCTTCCCCTAAAGTTTCCCGTCTTCCTACCACGCAAAGTATCAGCATCAAAAGCTGCATTGCATCCCTTTTATCTTTAAAACAAAGCAGAGGCTGTGCTTATTTATTTAAATTGGGAAGTAGGAATTTTAACTCTTCTAGCGGGTGATTTGAATAGGTTAATTTAATCATGCGGCAGTATTGTAATTGGATGTGAACTCCAGTTGACTACTCCTGGTTATCTCCACAAAAGTTTTTTCTGCTTGGGCTCGAGATCCAAATAGACTTTTTGCAAATGAGGAATTCCCAGGTGAAACCCTACCTTTTTTAAAACACTACAAACAGAAGAAACAACTATGCTCTTCTGAAGTAGTAGATTGTTAGAAGATTACTGGTTGTATGTTAGTTTACTTTGAGAGCTCAGAAATGAAATTGTCTGGATTCACAATACTTCAGTCAGTAGACAAATAACATTATACAGCTTTATAAACCAATCTGGAAATCGTAAGGGAGGCATGCTTGAATTACTTCGCGCTTTGCGCATGACCAAACAATTTTCAAATTACAAGGAAAGCGACAAACCACTCCGACAATAAGGAATGATGCGGAATTGAATGGTAAATACCCTTTCATCCCAGTCTAGCTTGGGAACATCAACATTGTTAAGCTTAACGGTGAAATGAGACACGAGTGGGACTTTATCTCGACCACTTCATCAGCCTTGACTATTCATTAGGGAAGAGGCTTAATCGGAAAGATTGATCTCATTTGCAACCGTTGCTTGCCCTTCAGCAAGTGAGTTATTCCTAGTAAAAAGTTTTGCAGATAACGCATCAAACACAAAACAAGCATATATAAATCAGTGGATACCTTAAAAGTGTGAGATACCACTTTAATTAAAGTCAACCAACGGTCCATTCGTTTTTGTTACGACCATTGGCATAAAGAGGCCATTTCTTTTTTATTTAAGCGGCAAACAATGTAAAGTGGATGGTGCATTGATTCAAGGTGGAAGAGGTGTTGATGAAAGTATTAGTCTTCAGAGCCCATTTTCATCTGTTAACGCAGGTTGTTTGGCATCCATTTGATTGACCATCATGGCTTTTCCCTCCTAATTTATGGAGGTGTGGGCGAATTGTCTCAGCACCGCTCAACAAACATCAAACATTAACGGAAGTTGATAAGCTTGAATAATGGGTGCGATTTTATACTAGGAGGCAAAGTGAGTCAGTCCAAACACACAATTTTGGGCTGGCTCTTATACCTTCCTGAATGCGGAACTTCTACAGCCTTGGGGCCAAATAAAAGTCAGTTTGTATGAGTCGCAAATGACCTCAGACTGCATATATCGAGAGCTCGACATAGTGGTAAACCGACGTTATTGTACTTCGTTAATCCCTACCAATCACAGCAAGTCACTGTATGACAGGTTTCGGTGATGTACACCTTCTTTTGTTCCATAACGAGTGTATTCTACATAATGGTCACTTAATGAATAATGTTGCATACGATTGGTCCCTGAATTGCAAACTGCTTTTAACTTTTCCTCTTTCGGATTATTTTAATTTATGAAGGTGTCAAACTTGGTGATTAAGGTCAACCTTTACCACTGCCATACAGCTTAATTATCACGGTTACTATTAATGGTGAGTTTTTTAATCCACTTCCTGAGTTAATACTAAAGAAGGAATAATTCATGCTCTTAGTCACATCATAATGTTTTACGGCCCACTTTTCGCTTTTTTTGGGTACAAATACAACTTTTATGCACCACACTAATGGAAATTCCAAGGAAACGGCAACTTTGCACACATTCATATTCCGATCCACTTTCCATTAATGGAAAAATGCTAGACTCGTAATGTGGAATTATGCCTTTTAATGGCCATTTTGTCCATTTTTTATTATTCTTAGCAATCCACAGATGAGTTAAACAACTATCTAGACATAAATGTGCTTTTTGGACTCATTCCTTACGGGGAAGCATGGATTCCTTCCTGAGGCGACAAAACACAGAATCATGAAAAGCCAAATTTTAGGAGAAGCTTCCTCCATTAATTTTGATGAGGGAATCAGGTAATTAAGCGATTTATGAAGTTTTAGGCATGATTTGTTAATTGACTATTTGTAATTTGTGTGGACTTGTCAAATACATGCGACTGTTCAGATACATTACACAGCATAGATATCTATCAGTCGATTATCTATTTACCAGTCAAATCTGACTTCGTTTCCAAAGTTACGGAAGAACTGCGCCAATCATGATGTGGAACATTTGGGCAGAATACACTCTTTAGAATCATTGGTTGAGTGAGGAAGCATTCAAAGATGAATGCATCGCCTTCTGAAGGACTAATTTATGCCTCAGAAGAAGAATTTTTTGTTCAGTATTATGAGCTTCTAATAATGTTTGCTGCTGAGTGAGTGAACAAGTGGATCATTTAATTTTTTTTCCTGCTATCACTTTAGCAACAAAGTGACGCACGTTTTAGAATTTTTTCCTACCTATCTGATTAACTGATTTGTGATGATAATTGATCTTTTTAAGGCAAATAAATATATCATTAGTTGACCTTAAGCAAACCACCATCTCACACTTCGAAAGCGCTTACTATTTTGTCTCTGGAAGAATATGCTCACTTTGTTCGTATGTGTGGTGCACTGAAAGCACTTTTTTGCCTTTTCCTTCTTAGCCTTTAGACCATTTAACAATGGATTTATTTGAATTGAAGGCGAAAATGGTTGATTTGCCATTTCATCCTTTTCATCACCGAAAAAATTTAATAAAAGGACTTCATCGTCCTATTTTTTAAAGTGACATTCAAGCGCTTTCCTAAAAACTGCACCTTTTTTCTCTTTGAAATGCTCTTTCAAAGATAGAATTTTGCGCAAAATTGGTTGCATTATGCTTAAAAAAGATGAAGTGGCTGAATAGACTAACCAGAACTGGCTTAAATACATTACTAATTACTGGTGATAAATTGTCTATAAATGTTCCACATTGAGATGAATCGTCCATTCCTACTAGCTAGGAGAGAGAATTGCTTGCGCTGGTGGTTTTAGGCAGTAACTGAAGATTTACATGTTAAAAATGACTTTTACTTCATAAACGTAAAAAAATTAGTTTACAGCTCTGAAACAACCATAAAATGAGAATTTAATGGATCTTCCATGGAATGGTTCTACGGCTATGGGGCATCCGCGATAGATACATAATACCTACATCATCCAGGTAATTGATCTGAGTGCGTGCTTTAGGTTTAATGTAGTTCCTGAATTTTCTTTCCATTGAGTCAAAGAGTACTTTCACTATAAATATGTGCATAAGGCCTGAATGCTTGTACCCTAAATGTTGGGACAGCAGAAGTCCTATTTTGGGAAAAGCTAATACAGCATATTATTTCTGGTAATCACGTCCATTATAAAAAACAATCCACTGACTTTTGCCAATGAGGCAACCAAGCTACCTTTATAAAGGGCATGCTGGTTTGCATTAAGCCTCACTGTGTGTGTATAGAGAAGCTGTAAGTCGGTTGGCAAGGCTTCATGCAACTGCAGTCTTAAAATACTGCAAAATAAAGTATTTTTCTCATTCACAGGTGCAAATTTAAATCACGCTGACCAGGACGGACGAACGGCACTGTGTGTTGCAGCATTCTGTGTTCCACAATCAGTATCACATAGCGAAGTGGTGGCAAAGTTGCTTCAACTCGGAGCAGATCCAAACCTAGGTGATAGGGAGAATGTCACTCCACTAATTGGAGCTGCCAATACGGGTCGCCGTGACATCTGTGAATTATGTCTGGAAGCTGATGCTGATGTTGATATGGTAGACAAGTAAGAGGCTTTTTCTATTACCAATGGAAAATGCATGATACAGTGTTTTATTTCAGCCTGTAGAGGCGTGTAAAATGCTGGCGACTGCTCATATGGAAGCATTTAAGGACGATACTTTTGTAGAACGTACCATCCAGAAATGGTTTAAAAGTGTTTTTACTCATGGATTACCCAGAGTGATCAGGAAGATCCTGGACTTTTAGTAGAGGAAGAAAATTACGTGCCAATATTTGCATGTTCATTTAAGGCCAACTTGTCAACCATATCTCTGCTAATCTTTCGTTTATACCTACATTACTCAGAATGTGAGAAACATGAAAGTCGTATCATTCATCAACAGATGAGAGTAAGCCCTAAGGAGTCGCATTTCCATGTCCCGTGCATAGTGGGTCGTTTTGACTGACTGACGAGTGATAAGCAAAGGCTTCATTGTACTCCATCGTACCAACATGATTAAATAATTTTTTCTGCGGTATTTTGACTCCTATAAAAAGGAATCAGACAGATTTATTTGGCTACTTTGCGTATAGCATTAAAAGAAACTACCTTTTTCCTTGTTAATTTTATCCAGTTCTATAGTTAAAATCATCTTTTTCTTCCACTCCGATCCACTTTTAAAATAGCACTTAATATTTTCATGTCGAAAAATTTTTGATGATACCACTGCTTTTAATAAAAATTATGCAAAAAAAGACGTGTCTATCAAAGGTTGTTAAGTTTTTTTTGTAAAATTCATGTTAGACATGCCGGAAACGGATGTGAGATAAGTACACATCCACCCACACAGTGATAGCTTTAACGGAGAAAAAGGCGCTTTTTTAGCTCTGGTGCACATGATGGGCGGGTAATTTGGGTTATTTAGGGTAAATGTACTCGTGGAAAAAAGGGGTGCCTATGAAAAGGCCTGGTAAAAGATAGAATTCGGCATGTTTGCCTGAAGCACTGACGAAGTGGTCAACGTATCACCAACGTACCCAGCCAAAACTTTAAAGCGGCCACGTCAAGTGACATTTTTTTAATTTTAAGATGGTTTTTACAGCATCAAGTACATCTCGCACTTTTTTTACCGACGTGGCAGGTATGATAACTGTGTTTTTACCAACTTATGATGCAAGATTGTGCCACAAATAAATTTTTTGAGTTAATAACAGTAAGGTAGATGTAGGGAGTTCTTTTTTGGTAAAAGTGACTTTCATCTCTTAGTTAGTTACCTCTGAACTATAAGAGTTAACTTTGCGACTACAAAAGTGCCGACTAGCTGTGTACCTTTCAAAGTAGTTGCGTATATTTTAGGGTAGATTATACAGGTACAAGGATTCAACTAATTCGACAAGCTTTGGTCTATGTACATCTTCTCCAAAATGCTGTCATCAATTTCCCTACTTTTAAATAAAAATGTGACAGCTCTAAAACTTTGCACATGAAATTGGGCTAAATGAAAGGTTACTGATGAACGGTCACGTCTGAGCCTGTTATATGACCAATTCAGAGTAATTATTTGAAGTGAAAAGTGATCCGTTCCTAGTTGCTTATTCATTCATTTACTCCTTAATTTGTCCCAGATGAATGAGTGAACAAATTAATTTTTAGATAGCTGTACCAAAGGAAAAAATGAGTAAGACCCTATAAAAATTAACAAAGTGGACCATATGGGAGCGGCTATGCACAAGATTTCTACGGGCTTGTCAGATCAGTGCCCAGATCAGCATTTCCTTCTGACTTGCAGCATTGATTTACTAGTATTATCATTAAAAAATATGACAAGACTCCGCAAGAATGCCTACAGCTTTGCGAATGGGGATATAACTCTTAAACACACATTGCATAAAACAAGGCAGTCTTTTTTTGATAAAATTGAACTTTCAAATAAAGTCTCTATGGATTGATGCTGTAAAAATAGGCCCTCTTTTAATAATCGAAATGGGTCCTATTGCATGAAAATTAGAGGCGTTTTATTTGAAATCTGAGGACATAGGCTAAAAAACCTATTTTCAAAATCTTTATCAAATCAGCACGACAATAAGGCGTCTATGGTGAAATTCCCACCACCTCCTCCTCCTCTCCCTTCTTTCCTTCAAATAGAATGACTATACTTTGAAACTGCAGATCCATGCAAATTTTTTGCTTAATAATGCTTTTTTGAATTATTATCCTTCCTTAAGGAATAGGCCTTAAAATTAAAATTATTCATGAAATACGTAGAAATTTCGCTGACTTTAAATTTCCCTTTTGGGGGATTTGAAGATGGAGAAGACGGTGATAAATAAGAGGAATCGAGTACATATTTTACGTTATCAAAGTCTGTAAAAGTTGTGTTTGGTGAAATCATACCCCGATTTACCTCCTATTTTCTCATTTTTTCCCATAATATCGGTTCATTTTTAAATCTTCCTCTATTTGTTTTAGGTAAGTTCTTTAAAGGGTGCAGAGGTGTAGTAAACTATCGTAAAAGCTGTCATATTTTCTTCAGAACCCATGACAAAGTGAAAGTTTTCACATCAAGGTTTTTCTTACAGTAGACTGTAGTTAAAGTACCCTAATCACCACATTTAAACCACCTTTCAAAGAACTCTTTCTGGCTTTGCCTGTGAATCTCGGAATGAAATGAGAAGATTGCAACCCAAATACTGCTAGAGTGCATAAGTTACGGCAAAAGGCTGTACTTCACAAGTCAAAAAAGGTCATGGTACTGCGGCTGCATGACAAGGAAGAGTAAACGCCAAGTACGTCCTATAGCTCGTAATGAGAACCGAGGTATACGTCGTGGACCAGTCGGATCAAAAAAGGTATTAATCAAGGTGGAAGATAAAAGCGTTTGTGCGTGAACACATGAAATGGCGTAAAGGTGAAGGAGGTTTCTTGTAAATGAAGACGACAAATCTGCTCAGATAAGAGGAGGTTCATCTCTTTAAAAGCAAGGATCTGCTGTGGTAATGGCTGGCCTATGTCACAGTTTTCAGTCCTGTGAGCATTAAGCAAGTGCGTGAAATACCTGACTAATTGTGGGCTCCTGGTTAATCTAAAACTTATCACCATGGGGGTGCACATGAGGTAAATCTCCTTATGGAAGGAGTGAAGAAAAGTCATCCACGAATATTTGGGAATTCGGAAAGTTAACACGTACTTAACACTAGAGAGGAAGTATAGTAGACTGCCTCAATGAACCTCTTTGTGACATTTTTTTGTGCTTTCGGTAAAAGCTAGGATACTTGCATAACTGTAGATAAATGCAACTTTAGAAGTCCCGGTTTGACTTCAGCAGGGAAAAACTTCTCCAAAATCCATTTTCTTCGACTTTTAGAAGTGGTCGTAGTGCCCTCGTAGCCGCTGTCGTCAATGGTCACGTGGACGTAGTTCAGCTACTTCTTTTCTGGTGTGCTGCTGTAGACACCATTGATCTCAATGGACGCTCTGTTTTGAGCATCGCTGCCGCCTGTGGACGCACACAAGTTGTTAGACAACTCTTGGACAGAGGTCTAGACGAGGGACATCGTGACCATATGGGCGCGACGCCCTTGCATCTAGCAGCTGCTGCTGGTCATGCCGAGGTTGTGAGGTGAGTAAAACAATATAATAGAGTTAATTCCGGCAATAAAACTGATTCCGAAACTGAGATGGTAAGGAAAGAATCAAAAGAGGTATCAAATCAAAACGTGTGTAATGATTTCAGTCAAACAATGGGTTGCCGTTTTGTAAAGATTTAGAAGTAGACTTCCATGTTGCATAAGCGGACGATATTGGGGTTACAGGTAGTCGATTTTGCTCCTAAAAAAATTGTTTGGATGGGGAGGACCTACGACTAAACCACTTATGCCAAAGTTTGAAAGAGTTGGGGTCAAAGTAACTGCTATCGAGGTTTAAGCTTTTGCAGCAACAGAAGGTATTTCCAATTTTCTCCAGAAGAAAAAGAAATGGGAGGAATTTCTTATAAAACTGCAGAAAATTCTAAAAAAATTCTGTTATAAGCTGGGGAAATTTCAAAGACTAAAGATAAGGAATGTATAATAGTTTTTTTCAACAAGAAGAGACACAAAGATGATTGTTTTCTTCGGTTTTTCAGTCTTTCAAGGAGTCATTGCAGTTTTTTAAGCCAATCTACTACATGAACCCATACATTATTAGCATGAGCCTCCTGTCATCTCATGAGTTCAAAAAATTTTAAATTTTATCCAAAATGTGGTCAACGGAGGCCACTTTTCGGTTAATGTTTGAACATCTATGCTATTCCCAAAGTTCTACGTAGCTGTTTCGAGATTCAAATAAGAGGAAATCATTGAGGGCTCCTTAAATTATCTTTCGTAGGTGAAAAAAGCAAATGCACAATAAGGACAAATTTACACCTTTCTCTGCGAAACATTCTACTTGTGGATTCTACATTTATCTGACCTTTCATCACCCAGAGCAAAAGTGTAGTCATTGCCACCTACGCCTCCATCTCACTTATATTTCCCAAATTTTCATTTACTTCTTTATGTGATTGCTTAATAGGAAAGTCAAAAAGTGGTGATATTTTGTGCCTTCAGACATATTCGAGATATATGGGCAGGTTTTGTGGTATGGGGCATGATTTTGCCGGTTTCCCCCTATGTCTGCCTTTTCACAACCAAATTCGTCGTGAGAGAATAAACATTCGATATAAAAAGATCTTTATAGTATTGTCATGGTGGATGAATTTTGTGAGACAAGAAAAGTTCAGGATACCCTTGCTGGCAAACTCCAAGTAAAAAGACCCTTATTGGGGATTTGAAAAAGTACAGGTCTCAATTTACTAAAAGGCTAAACATTGCTTGTCATAAACGATTCTGCAATGATTGCAGTGAGGGACGCGTTAATAATTCGCCTACATCTATGTCATCTGAAAAGGGGAGATCGTGGAGGCCAAGCGAATGGATACCACATGACACATTTTAATAATTAACAAAGGGCTTTAAATACCGCCAATTCCTTCTTCACTTCTTCCACTTCATATCAACGCGACATCCATTTTAGACACTGCTGCCTGGCTGCCTGACTGACTGACCGACTGACCAGCCGATCGACTGACTTGTGATGAGAAATGGCTTTTGTATTGCGACGTTTGTTAGGCCAACAAACACATCATTCGTTGCTCCCACACCATCCATTTACCACTTTACACTTCCAAGGCACACAGGCCACTTCATCCCAGAAGGCTATGCTTGATTTGTGTGCAGTGCATTGCAATACTGCAGTCGCGACTGTTCACTGTGAATGTCTTGCTGAGGGGTAAGCAATTACACCTAAGTTTTATCCACTAGGTAGAAGATAATACTTATGTGTGTGGATATTTTAGCAATAAAACTTCTTTAGCAAAAGTCTGGGCTGATTAATTTGTCTTATTCATCCAGGACTAGGCAAGTCATGCTAAAAAATCTACTTTTGTGAAGACTTTACATTTAACTTTGGAAAACTCCTTGCTCATTCTTTGAATTTCTAATCATTATCATCCTTTTGTTGGTATTAGTGCCAAACAACCACGTGTCAAATAGAACAGATAGTTGGGGAGACAAGGTTGAGACAGAGGCAGAGCTTTACCTTGCTCAAGCATATTTTCCATTTCTTCCTGTTTTGTTATCTTTCATCTCCGTTAAAACGCCACTTTTCTAGTGAGTTGAGATTAGCAGGAAAGATGGAGTTATGTAGTCAAACCACAGTGAGGATGCTATTTATCTGCAATAGGATAAGTAAGTATCTTGTCACCATGGTAAATTCATTTCGGAAGTAGGGCTAAGTAGTAACCCAGTTTGCCAATGAATGCAGCAAAAGGAAGCACCTGGAAGTTACATTTATTTTTGATTCCTCGTCTCTGCTTCTTTGCTATCCGTATGTTGTCCAGCCTGCAATATTAATAGTTAACAAATATCCATAATTCACGTATTTCATTTCAACTGTTTAAGCAGCTCTTTTGTGTGCGATTTCTGCCCATTGGGGTCCTTCACGAATTTGATCGGTAAGCAGATGCCGTCTTTCTGAGGGGGGTTGTGAGGGATGTTTTGCCACAGTACCCAGTCATTAAAGTAACCTGATTTATCCCCAAAACCACGGCAAGAGGTTTGGGCTCAGAGTTCATCTAAAAAATAAAAGCAGAAAGGCTTTTATTTCGGAAGCAGGATATTTGGGGGATAATTTAACCCCAAATACCTTCACTTTAACTTTATTTTAACCTGCAAAAATTTCCTACTTATTTTGAAATTTATTGGTCTACTGAGCTTCCCGTCTTTTGGTAGCATTCTCATGGGTAAGTTTAACGGTGGCAATAAGGCATGAATTTTTATGTTGTCGAGGCTGTCAGCCAGCCTCAATTGCTTCTGAAGAAGTAGCTGTATCGTGCCGAATGGATGGAAGTCAGTCCTTGCTTTTTGACCTTCAACGAGAACTTCGAAGTGCACGACACAAATTTTGCATAGCCTTTCCAATTTGGGGTACAAGGCTCACCCTTTCATTGCACATCAACTGGCACGTTTCCATGACATACGTAAAAAATAAATTGTCTCGGAAGCTTATTGTCACCCGTTAGTTCATGTCTTTTGGCTCCCATCTGATTAGTTGCCAAAACTCTTCCCGGGTGCTGCAGATTCAAACAAATTGTTTCAGCGACACCTGCTTTGAGCACTAATGAATGTTAACCTTGATACAAATCCTCAGTACCAATAATGGAGGCCTTTTGTCAACATAACCCCTCTATGGGAGTGATTCGTTCAGGATAGTTCATCCTCTCCAAATTCCTTTGAAAAATGGTAGCGATTATATTCCGAACCTTTGGAACTGAGTTTAATTTCGTCAGAAAACTAAGAAGTGCATGAAATTTTTCTACTTAAATATATGAGTTGTAAAGGCAAAAGTTGTAGGCATTGCATCTTTGGCTCCCAAACTATTACACCTTCCTGAATTAAACTGGTGCTCTTGGGTAATGTAAAGCTAGATTATGTCAAATTTTGTTGCTCCAGAAAACAAGTAGCATTTGTCGAACAAAGCGTTTCCCTTTCCTTTTTGAAATTATTTAAGCGCCTAACTAGCAATGACATTTTTTCAGGCAATAAAAATACTAGTTTATTCACTGTTTAGTAATAGGAAATACTTTTTAGATAATAAATAAACGCCACTGCATGCATGGTATTTAAAAATTGGAAGAATAAAAAGGCCCATCTTTTATACACCTCAATCTACAATTTCTCTTCCTGCGCCTTGGTGACTCCCGTCCAATCATTCTACTGGATTGAAACAAAAGTAATTACGATTTAAGTGTGAGGTGTTTATAGCTGACTGATCATTTGTATTTTAGTGGGAAGCTCTACGTTAGAACGCTTTCTCAACAGCTAGTTTCGACACGTTGATGAACCTCTCTTTTCAACTGTAGAAACACATGAAATTATGGTGAGCCATCTTCATGATGAAGAAAAACGCAATCCAGTCTTGCGTGTTTGGAAATGAGCTTAAAATTTATTAACCTGGCAAGTGCCAAATTACCTGAGGGTCAACAGATATTTGATAATGCTTTGTAGACCTGTTTCTTCTCGACAGCTTAATCGACAGCATAGTATCTCCACTCTTGAACCTTGGATATAATTTCCTCTGCTTTATTCAATTCCAGGCTCCTTCTAGAAGCCGGTTCTCACCCAGATGAGATAGACAATGCCGGTCAGACGCCTCTCCTAGTCGCCTGTCAGGCCGATCATGTAGGGGTTGTCCAACTCCTCCTAAAACCAGCAGTCACTATGGAAGCAGCAGTAGATAATGAACGAGTGCAGGAGTTGTTTGAAGTCCTTACTTCAGGTAGAAATGACGGAGAGGTGGGAGAGGAGACAGGAGATCCACATCGTGTCTACGACCCTCTTACCACTGGAGGACAAGACGGATTTCTTGGTCATGCTGCCTTGCAAACAATCGATAGAGCCTCAATGGATGGACGAAATCCGTTGAGGTCGGCGGCATTAAATAACAACGTTCCCTTGGTCAAATTGCTTATAGCTTTGGGAGCTGACCCAGATCAACAAGTAAGTGAAAAATGTAATATATGGCTGATTTTGTTAAAATCGTATCAAGGTGAGTGTTTTATTTCTCGTGTGTACATGACGTTGTGTGGGGGAAAAAATTATAACACAAATAGTGGTGCAAACCCCAGGAACTGAATGGACGGCGTAAAATGGATTACTCTAAAAGAAACATACTGAAGCGTCTGATAGGTCTCGCTTTTTTTGCAGCATAATCATCAATGACCCCTAAGGTCATCGCTCTGCTTCAACTCTGGTGAAACCTTGTGTTGGCCAAAAATAGTCGCGAGATAAACTGAAACTTGATTGCCATGCAGAGGAAAACCGGTACTTGTTGGTAAATATTACGCCTTCCGGAGGGTTAGCTGTATCGAGAACGAATCTGCGTGGAATAAAGTGCTAAATAGTGGTCGATTTTTTACGGTAATCTCATTCTGCATATTAAAAAAGGAAGTTTCTGAGATAACTTTGAAGATATGGGGTTTTCCTTCATCTTGAGAAGGTCAAATATTCTTCCAAATGATTCACCCTTCTTGATAGCCTCCGAAAAAGAAAACTTTTTATTGCAGACATTCTTAATTTGACAAACCAAACAGG